AACTAACTAACTAACTAACTACTAACTAACTAACTAACTAACTACTAACTAACTAACTAACTAACTAACTAACTAACTAACTAACTAACTAACTAACTAACTAACTAACTAACTACTAACTAACTAACTACTAACTAACTAACTAACTAACTAACTAACTAACTACTAACTACTAACTAACTAACTACTAACTAACTAACTAACTAACTAACTAACTAACTAACTAACTACTACTAACTAACTAACTAACTAACTAACTAACTAACTAACTACTAACTAACTACTAACTAACTAACTACTAACTAACTAACTACTACTAACTAACTAACTAACTAACTAACTAACTAACTAACTAACTAACTAACTAACTAACTAACTAACTAACTAACTAACTAACTAACTAACTAACTAACTAACTAACTAACTAACTAACTAACTAACTAACTAACTACTAACTACTAACTAACTACTAACTAACTAACTACTAACTAACTAACTAACTAACTAACTAACTAACTAACTAACTAACTAACTAACTAACTAACTAACTAACTAACTAACTAACTAACTAACTAACTACTAACTAACTAACTAACTAACTAACTAACTAACTAACTAACTAACTAACTAACTAACTAACTAACTAACTAACTAACTAACTAACTAACTAACTAACTAACTAACTAACTAACTAACTAACTAACTAACTAACTAACTAACTAACTAACTAACTAACTAACTAACTAACTAACTAACTAACTAACTAACTACTACTAACTAACTAACTAACTAACTAACTAACTAACTAACTAACTAACTAACTAACTAACTACTAACTAACTAACTAACTAACTAACTAACTAACTAACTACGAACTAACTAACTAACTAACTAACGAACTAATAACTAACTACACTAACTAACTAACTAACTAACTACTAACTAACTACTAACTAACTAACTAACTAACTAACTAACTACAACTCTAACTAACTAACTAAACTAACTAACTAACTAACTACACTAACTAACTAACTAACTAACTACACTAACTAACTAACTAACTACCTACCTAACTAACTAACTAACTAACTAACTAAACTAACTAACTAACTAACTAACTAACTAACCATTACATGTTCCATTATCATTATAATTGCAACATATTCTTTGAAAGGGAGCCTATGCAGATATCTCTGTCCAAAACCCCATTAAAAGTGACTCCATTAATTCGGTCCCTATACATACATATATCCTGATTACACCATTTTGGTTAAGTCTTTTAAGAAAGAAACTGAAGATACTACTTTTAACATATCCCAACGGAGTTACGACTGAAAAATGGTTAGAAATATCCAAAGCTGATCTGATCTGGCTAGCTCTAGGACTTAGACAAGAATAATGTCAGACCCTGGGGTGTGGTAGTTTAAGTAAAATAAGTGCCGCCTGGATGTCAACAAAAATTCTTATATTACCACTAGTATTGAGATCTATCAGTGTCCCAGTGTGCATCCGGTTCTAAATTGTTAGAGTTCCAGTCTGTCAGACCGGAGGCTGTGGTTATTGATTTCCAGCATTGGTATATGTTGAGCCTTGTATCCGATCTTTCAGTGTCCCAGTGTGCATCCGGTATCATAATTGTTAGTGTTCCAGTCTATTAGACCGGAGGCTGTGGTCATTGATTTCCGGCATTCGGAGATGTTGAGCCTTGTATCTGATTGTTGATCGATAAAAATAAGGTGCAATATAGTACCTTTCTCCAATTAGCCGAAACATGGTTAAGGGAGAGGCATGGGAATGTATTTCCTCGGATTCGTCGTTATTATTCTTCCACAGTATTATAAATACTCTCTAAATAGTAGCCACTATTAAAACTGAAAGACCTTTATAGAGAAACCACAACGTTGTCCAATACATTGCAGGTAAAATTAATGGCTAAAACAATTGAAAAAAAAAACTAAAACTAATAATTTATTTTGTTGACCACAAAGTGTGTTTCTATATTTGCCACTATTTCATGTTCATGTTCAGAACAGTGTTGTGGATGATGTTGCATTAAGTACGTTTGTGTGTAGGAGAAGAAATGAATTTCATAATTATTATACAGTTTTCAAAGAGGAAAAAATATGTAAATACTTATTTGTTACAATTTATTCACTTTTGTTACTCACTTCTAAGTAATATGTTATATATTATGAAATTCTTGGAATGCATTAGAAATTTTCAGGAAGAATATGTAAAAAAGTATGTCAAAGTTCAATTTCATATATACATATTTTCATTTAGATTTCATTCGTTATTGACATAGGGGAGAAGTATTTGTCCCATAAATTCTTGAGAAGCGTTGCTCTCGGTTCCCAAAATTGGGTAACTCAGATAAGATAAGGAAGAAATTAGATAAAGATATATTTAGTTTAGACATTAGCAGAATGTGACAAATGAACACTCAGTTTAATCGTAACACCTTGGCATCAGAATGGAATATTAAGTTTCTCACATCTTTAGGGATCGAAACTGAGGTCACTGGAAATAGAAGAAGCGCCAAAGACTAACATGAAGACTAGCATATGTTGTAATACTATCTACATCAACAAATTTAGAATACGCAATGGCGATTAGGAAGACGCAAAGTCTTTTTGTTATCATGGTAGTTACGATGTGTTTTATCGAATATGTGAACCGTGGAACGCAGTGTGCAGGATTTTGCCGATATTATCTGGAGCTGGTCAGAAGTCTAGTACATTACAACTGACAAACGTCCTACTTCAAAGTGGAACATTTGCAATCACAAAGTGAGCTACGAACGACTCACCTTAGCCCCTTTGTGCCATGTAAAGACAGTTTTCTCGAGAACTTTAGCTATACATATTCCGACCATAGCTGGGATGCAAAAACATCATTTTCGTTTACAACCAAACAGATGAAATGGTATTTGATTTGGGAACAGCACCTAGAGTCGCAATCGGTAGACCGAAATACGAATCTATCAAATAATCCCCAGGTAAGTTCCTACTCACAAAGAACATACTGTGATGAATCTGGTATGAACAGAGGAAACTCTGAACATAGCCGGACAAGAAAGGAAAAGTCAATGGTATCACTTACATCCATCACCATTCAACCCAGCATAATTCTCATTCATTCGACACACATATTGAATAACACATCCGACACACTCACTCTAGATATACGGAGGAGGCCCCTATATCCATTCCGTATTATATACACTTTACACCCAACTCATTTTCACCCAACTCATTTTCAACGCTTAGCCTACCAGTCACTCCTCACCGGGATATCTGTTATCTCGGCAACAACACCGAACTTATCCGGAATTATAGACTTTACCGTGTATCTCACGAGTTTGAGTTTAAACCACAGCCACCATGTGCATACCGGAACCTCTCTAACAACCGGGACAAGACGAAGTCCGAAACTCAGCCCTAAGGGCTACCGGTTCCGTGATAACAGAATATGTGGTTCTCTGGTTGGACCCAATGCCAAATCGTTCCAAAGAAAGGCTGAGGATCATCACCAGTTTATAGTCTCGGCAGACTAGAAGTGTAGGTAGCATTGCAAAAACACCAAGATGGGGCCAGTTCATGAAGGTAACAAGTCTTTGGGGGGATCTGGAGAAGGAAAATTCAAGGCCAAAACAAAACATTTTAATTGAGATCTTACGCTATGCAAATTCCCTAGTATCAATGAAAAAACCGCCATAAACTGGGCACTGGACACAGCATCTAGCAGATATGAGTGGTGCCAATGTATAGTAGCCCTTCTTATATTATAGGTCTGATATAGTAAATGTTGTAAATAGTAAGAATTTCACACCGTATTCCCATGCTTAGAACTTCTGATACCTATAAATACATATAGATGAAGCAACATAGTCCAACGTGCATTTGTGTGTTTAAACATAATATTGAGTCATATAGTGGTTGAAATCGACTCCCCAGTCAGAGATTGTTTTTGGGTCTCAGTTAAGCAAGTCATGTTTGCCTCATTGAACCAATACTCTCAAGGATTGGCATATAATTGATTGAATACGATGTTGCTATCATCCATGAAAGAGTAGATAGTAGTTGGAAGTCTGAGATAGTAGGTTATTTCGATCTATTGGAAAGGGAATAGAAACAGATTCGTGCCGCACATCTGAAAAAATCTTGAACTCAGAACAATTTGCTATTGGGTGATTATTTTCAGGGTTGTTAGCCCCTCCTTTTTTAGAAATCATTGTTGCATTAGCAGCCTGATAGGAGCTTACCGGTATGTTATAAAATGCTTAAAAGATTAGCTAATGGACGAGCTAGTATCGAAGAACCTGGAGGACTTAGTTACGCTAAAGTCCACATAAACTTTATTAACTGCACTAGTTCGAAAAATATTTCTGTTGAAGTACTGATACTCTTTTGATCATCCATTAAAAGATTCAAAATTGTATAACTAGCATCATCCTTTACCCTTTTGATGAATGATCAGATGGTTTTATTGACCCGGGGAACAATAATAATGTTAGCACAGAGACGCTACTCGTTTAAAACTCTTTGACGTCTAAGCATTTGGGACCTTTTTGCGTAACGAATCATTTACGACATATTTGCGGTATCGCGAAATTCTGAATGCTTCTGTTTTGATTCCTCTACCATTATTGCCATGTCATTGACATGATTGTCTAAGAAATCAAGTTTCCGATTCAAATGCCTAATTTAATCCTTGAGCTCATTGTACCTTTTCGTATATAATGATTGACCGTTTTGTTGGTGATTTTGAAACGTTAAGGAAACGTGGAAAGGGAAAAGGGGGTAATGATTTGAGAATATTTACTTCAGACTTATTGGGGTGTGAAATAAGAAAAAAATCGTGTATATTATGTTGATATCCTTCTGTAAAAGAAAAAATCAGTCACGGAACTAGTTTGGTTTCCATATTTCCTACCCATATATTAAATTCACATTTAAATCCACTACAACATTAACAAGTTTATAATTGGTACTCACCAGATTTATTATTAATTAAAATCTCATATTCATCAAGTTCGTCATCATGATAGCTGGAATCATCTTCATCGAAATCAGGCACATTGGCGGCTTCACGACGCATTAGCAAACGTCGCTGGTAGTTAGTTAAAGTATCATCAGAAGTAAGTAATGAAATGGGAAGCTTTAAACTACTGTTACCCAATAGTGGCAGGGGTGGATCGCCGCCCTCACCATGAACAGCCCTAATGCCATTGGAGCTGTTGTGGGGTATGGTGCTGGTCTCTGCAGTTAAGTTCGAATAAAATATGGTTTTGGTATTTAACTCTTCCACATGACTGGTGGTGGTTGATGGTGGCGTTTGTGTAGTGGTTAAGTTTGTGGCAACAGCAGCTCGTATCATGACACCCCAGTAGAAGAAGGCCATCAGAATTAAATAGCAAATACTACGCATATCAGGATGACCACTCACATGCAGTAGTTTATTAAATTGTGTTTTGCGCTTCAGTTGCAATGTTGCAGCTTCGGCATAAGCCGTAAACATATTGTAGGTTAAGACACAACATGTTGAATAGTAGGTCGAATATGTGTTGGAGAGATTTAGATGCGATGAGGATAGGGGAGTAGAAGGAATGGAGAGAGTAGTAGAATTTAACGCTACGGTAGAGCAAGTTGGTGAAGAAGTTGATGTTGACGGAGGAGTAGGGGTATAGGAACATGTTGTTGACGGTGGTAGTGATAGTGATGTTGTTGTAGTTGTTGGTGGGGCTAATGAATGCACAAATGTTTTGTTGTTTGTGTTACTGTTAACATTATGAGATTTATTGATTTTTGAATTTCGATTTTTTAAAATACTAAAAGAGGAAACGGATGTTAGCTGTTGAAAATTTGCGTTGCTAATATGAAAATGTGTCGGTTGGTCATTAACAACATGTTGTTGCAATGTTCTATAGCTGATAAATTCATTGTTGTTGTTGTTGCTACTGTTGTTGTTGAAATGGCTGTGTTTATTATTGTTGTCATTGTTACTTTGATTTGTGGTTATTTGAGTTTGTCGTTGTTTTTGTTGCTGCTTTATTAGTCGTAGTTTTTGTTGTGTTAGTGGCTGTTGTTTTGGTTGTTCTATTTGTTCTTGTTGTTGTAGTTGTTGTTGCTGCTCCTGCTGCTGTTGTTGTTGACGACGACGATGATGATGACGATGGTCTGCTACATTTATTTTATGATACTTTGTGTAATTTAAAACTTTGGCCATCGCTCATTTACGATACACAACAGCCCATTTATTGAAAACTTTTTCTTTTATATCCTTTTACTTTTCCTTTTTCTTCTTTTTGCTTATTTTCTAATATATTCTCTTCCTAGCAAGCCACTTCCTGTGTGTTTTTTTGTCTATTCTTGAGCTAGTTGTGCTTGCAGTTGTTAGTGTCTCAGTGTCCCTTTGTGTGTGGGTGCTACTTTTGTTTTGAAATACGTAAGAACATTTAGTTCAATTTATAATTTTTGGCCAATGTTCAATTTCGGAATTTTACAAAAAAATCTATTCGTTTTATTCTAGTGTCGCATTGTAGTCTTCGTTTTGTTCGTTTTTTTTTTCAGTAGTTAGTTAATCGTTTTGATTTTGGAAGCCTCGTATATGTTTTTCATTTGGCTTTTGTGGTTCCACTGATGTGAGGGTGAATCGTTTTACTTTTTGACCCTTCATATGTAAGTACATATGTATGTGTTTTTTTAGTTATATGTATTTTAAAGTTGTACAACTTATGAATGTTTATAATATACCATATATTATTTGTTAAATATTTTATATCATCGCTTTTTTATTGTTCAGTGTTGTTCAATGTTGTAGCTGCACATTTTTCTATTGGAATACAACAAAAAAAAAATAATTTTAAATGAAAAATGAATCTGTGGAATGTTTAATATTAAATAATGAAATATTTCAGTTTAAGGGCCTTATTCATAAATAATATTTTATAAGGGGAAAAAATTGTTTCAAAAGTAATAAATTTATGGAGGACAACTGAATATCAGAATATCTTCATATTTCGTTAATTGGTTTAACTACTAAATATGTTCAAAAATCATTATAACAGGTTTTATATATAAGTAATAGAATTTTTATATAGTATTTATTATATAGAATTTTTATATGTAAACCCTGATAATTTGATGAAATTTGGCACATACTCTTCTTTTGACCCAAGGACGAAGCCTATTAGAAATGGTTAAAATCGGTACATTATTTCGTAAAGCCCCCATATAATCGTACCCCCCGAATAGGTCTTTTGAGCTCATAAATATGTTAAATGTTCTTGTATCATTTCAAAAATCGGCAAAAGTTAGTTTTATATAAGTCTTAATGATACTTTGTAATGATCGGGCCTTATTTGACCCTAGTTCCCATACAAAGTCTCCTTCAGAGAATGACCCGATGGTCAAAATTAACTTATAAACACTAATATCACGATGATATTCTGCATTAATAACTGATGTAGGTGTAAATCCTTCTACCAAAATTTATAAGTTTATTAATCCCTTGTCCCCATATAACCTCTCTTTTAGAAAATCCCGAGGTATCCTAGTTTCCGAAACTCTGATTTCGTTCCTGATGAGCCCATATGTCCAAATACAAATCCTTAACTCAAAAACACTTCCTCGTTATGCATATGAAAATTTGTTAGAGAAACCGTTTAGAGCAGAATTATTTCCCTCTTTTTCTTTTCTATACCACTGTGCAGCCTTTTACTGTTTCTCTGCACATGCTCTACACTCATATGAATCCGCTCGCCCCAAATTTGTATAGTTGTGACCGCAATCCTGAGTGTACCATCATTCTAAACCTGAACATACACATTCTAGGCCCCCTCTAGTTTGGGTCACTCCATAGAATCGTTGTGGTTCTAGCTACCTTTTCTAACTCGGCTCTGCTTCCATCAAACGTTATTGCATTCGTCAGGTTATTTTCCCTTCCCTTAATAAAGTTTATCCCCCAGTGTTCCCTCCGGGGTCATGTTACCTTGGTGAAATCTCCATCTTGGTGTTATTGCAATATCCCGGGGAAAAGAGGTGCTGCCAATACCTATACTCTGCCGGGACTATAAACTGGTGATGATCAAATATACCCTCTGTTTTTCCTTGGAATGATTTGACATGGGGTCGAATCAAAGCACCAGATAATCTGGTATTACTGGTGGTCAGTTGCCCGCAAGACTTTGTCCTGTCTGGCCAGTTGGTTATAGCCGAATTCGCGGAGAGGAAATGTTGGTTTAAGGACTTATATATCCTATGCCATATATATCGGGATTCTCTCTCCGGTGCTCGTGCTATCTCAACAGATGTCACTGAGTGATGTGACAGAGCAATTTATGCTGGATTCCTGGGTAACCGTTGAGTATATCTTACTCTTCGCGTAGTAGGGTGCCAGCATAAGCAGAGGAATTTTCAGGTTTACACTTGATAGTTGCTGTCATTTTGTAGATCGTTCTTTATGATCTGAGAATGGAACTGATGTAAGTTGGTGAACGCCCAGGAGACTAGTGCCCGATAGGAGACTAGTACTAATCTAGTACATCTTTTACTTAAGGAAAGTTCTGTTTTATGCTACTCGACTTATGGTTGAAGCCAACCACTTAACTTGTCGGGTTCGATTTGACTTTGGAAATTCCTTTTGGCTAGGGATTTCGGACTTCGGTGCTGTTTCCATGTGCAAAACCGTGTGATGTGATTGAGTGACTGAGAAACGGTAAATCTGCCTGAGCGGATGGTTAAATGATGGGTACGCTACGGGTTGCTCATGGCAACGCTATACCTGATTATAATCCTGAGATTATGGATTTATCGGGAACATCTATTGGGGTTTCGTTACCCCTCTTTTCTGAATCGAACGGCACTTCTCCGCCTGTCGGGGTAGTGTTCTTGCTACCTGTCACATCCCAACGTGATCCCTTGGCAAAAGATTATGTACAAAGTGCTTGTACATGGACCGGCACAGCCATGCACAAAAAATATCACCTGAGTGTTCTTCATCGAAGTCACTCGGGGGGCACGTGGTAGACCGTTCTCAAGTTTACCCAGTGGATGAAAAAGATCACCGTGTAATAGGGCAGTCGAGGCTTGGTCCTCGCAATGTCCTGGTACTATTGCAATGTAAAGTAATCGATTAGGGCTCTCTTACATTCCAATACGATTTAGTTGATATCGACTTAATCCCTTCGAAAAATATAGTAATACCTATTGGCGTCATATTTAATCCAGTATGACGATCGGCGTTTATGTTTAATTATCACGTCCCCGATTCACGATAATTTCACTTCTGGTATAGAAATGTGACAAGTCTGATATTTGTGTTTAAGTATTCCTGGAAGAAGGTTGTTTCCATCAATTTATTCAGGGATTGTTCTCATTTGGAAGTGATTACGTCATCCGATATTTTATTGTTGGACATATTTCATCGACCTCTCCAGCGTCATATACCAAAATAGCATGTTTGTTCGGTCGATAGATGAGCTATGTAGTCCCTATCCTTTTCCACCTTTGGTTCCACTTTATGCTTGTTGAGATTATGTATGATGGTGTTGTTGTCATCATTTTAGGATTTAGAGTTTGAACCTACACCTGATCAATGCTTGAGTACATCCTTCTTCTTTACATCTTAATTTTTGGCGAATGACTTAATAGCAAATGCCAATTAAGGTTCATTTTTCAACCGCTGCTGGGAATAAAATTTGTATTTCTTTTATTTTAACTCATCTGGATTTCGCTTGCAATGTCGGCTTAAGTTGGACACATCGTACGGGCATTTTCCTACTGAGACTGTCATTAGTCTCAGTAGGAAAATGTATGTCAAAGAATCCGCTGGGATATAGTGACTTCTTCTGAGTACCCTTGCAATGCAGAGTAACTATTCTGCATTCACACATTTTAAATCAAAACGATAATAATTATTCTTCTTTGTAAATACGAAACAACTCATATAAACTTTTATAAATTTTATAATTTGTTTTGTTTTACAGGCCATTGAATCGAAAGCATGTTTAACATAAACATTGTTGCCAAATTTAAATTAATATTTTTGAGCTTCTTAAAAGGTTTCTATAAATGTTTTGTAAATAGAAATAAATAACAAGTACTATTTAATTTTCAATTACAAATTTATTATTATTTTTTTTTTTTCCAAACATATTAGTAATTTTAATTTTTAGAAAGTGTGCAAAATTTATCTTACTTAAATGTGGCAACTCTGCTCTTAATCTACTTTATTGACCCAGAAATAAAAAACAAAGAGAGCGAAAGAAAAAAACAACAACAATTGTTAAACTTTTTAACTTTTCCTTTACGCTTTTTGTTGCGGTTCTTGTTTAGTTTTTATTTAATTTTTCCTAATAGCGCTAACGAAATACATATTTTATCTTGGGGGGGTTGTATAGGGTGTCGTATTGAAAGTATGCAATTTTGCAATTTCATTATATCTGTGGTTCGGAGTAATAAAAGGATAACTCATAAAACTTGTCATATATCGTTATTAATATGGTCAACAGGGAGATCTGGGCTTTTCTGGGGACTAAATCCATGACTATAAACTGGTCTACAGCCATGACTTTAATGATACTGAACTATATATTAACCTATAGTCTCTACTATAGACTTTACTATATTATACTCAAGATACTGAATTATTTTCAAAAAGAAGTATTCCCAAACCATTGTTCCCTATTGATGTAAAGGTTGTCAACGATCCTTTTTTATATAAAATCCAAATCTCAATGTCGACGACAGCATACAATGATATGAGAAGATCCTCTGCATAGATTTTAAAGTTTATCTATATATTTATCTAAAAATAAGTTCTATGACCATCTTTCGTTGAACTTATCTACTTCGTGTCACGCTGTCATAAATTTCAACGTCATTATATTTATAAATTGGGATAAGCAGGTCATTCTTGTCATGTTTCTGATGCCATTAGTTGTTTTTCATAAGCAAATTCATTTTTGCCTCGTGTATTACCGTTGCATGTGTTTGAATGTAAGTGAAGCGTAATGAAAAAATATCCTATAATTTAAATGCAAATATTTGTAATTTAAATACAATTAAATTATAATGTAAAACTATGTATGTAGTTGTATTTATGCACATTTTTTGAAGTTACTGAAGTTAAGTAATGCATAAGTTTGCTTAGTTATTTCAGACAGATATAGCAGTTTAAAACGGAGTTGAAGAAGGGCTCTTGCATATTAAGACAAAATACTTGGTTGACACGTACTTTGTAATGCAAAGAGAAGAATAGTAATGACTTTAGTGCCCCTAAGTAATGTATAAAGAAAACCAGTAAAAAGCTTCAATGTAAATGGTATGAAAAACACTATCGCTTCATAGATTAGGCGACTATTTCTGAAATATTTTAACAATTTGTTGCCAAAAAAAAGTTATTTTCTGAAAGAGGGGTTATATGGGAGCAAACGTAAATATGGCCCTATACGTGTAAATTTTGGTAGAGCGATTTACAATGACATTCAAACTATTTACTAGTGTTTGCAGGAGTAATTTTCTGAAGGGGACTTCGTATGGGAGCTAGGGTCAAATGAGGCCCGATTATTACGCAAATGGGTACGGTTGTATGGGGGCTAGGCGACATAATGGGCCGATTTCAAACATTTTCAATAAATTATATAGAAAATTGCGACCAGTAGCGTGCTCACAAGATTTATATGAACACACAGGCGGACATAGCTTAATCGACTCAGAAAGTGATTATTTAAGGTGGTTGTAGCAGGAACATTTTGGGTGTTACAAACATCAGCATAAACGCATAATACCCCATATAGTATAGTGGTGTAGGGTATAAACACAAAAACAAA